GGCACCTCTCCAATAGGGACCTCCGATTCCGAGTCCGAGACCAGCGGATGCCTGTTGTTGCTGCTGCTGTTGGGCGCCGCCATATCCGCCCCAACCTCCGAGTCCTCCAGCCTGTTGCTGTTGTTGGGCAGCACCTCCTAAACCACCCCAACCTCCGAGACCACCGGCCTGTTGCTGCTGTTGGGCAGCACCGCCGAAACCGCCCCAACCTCCCAGTCCACCGGCCTGTTGTTGCTGCTGAGCGGCACCACCGAAACCGCCCCAACCTCCCAGCCCGCCAGCCTGTTGCTGCTGCTGTTGGGCGCCTCCATACCCGCCCCAACCGCCAACACCGCCGGCCTGTTGTTGCTGCTGCTGCTGTCCGCCCCAATGGCCCAACACATCGTTGGATAATACGTTTAAAACCAAAAGAAGTAAAAGTGGTTTTGAGAACATTTTTTTCTTATATTAAAAATTTATTTTAAAAATTCACGCGAATTGTGGTCTGAACTAAGACTGAACTGGAAGTGAAGACTCAAAGCTAGAAAATAATGGTCTAATAGTGAGACACCAGAAGGTTTGTGCGAAAAATTGTTGCGAGTTTTATGAGCTCCAGAAGGTGTCCAAGGTATATCGAGTTTCGTATTTTTCAAGTTTTAAAACTTATTTTAATCTAATTAATTATGAAGTACAGGTGATTAGAGTATAGACACTTATTGTGATTATCCTAAGATTCTGGTTATTGATTAGCATTTGTAGTGACAATTTTATAAGCATTTGATGTGATTTAATAATTAATATTAAATTTATTAATTTTTATTTGATTATGAAAAGGTTTAATTTTAAGTCATATAAATTAGTTTGTAGTGAATATGTGTTTTACGTGTTTATCATCTCTACCTCACATCCTATTTGTCAATCCATGACTTCATAGCCGTCGAGGTGTTGTAAGAAATTAGTAATTATGGATTATATTTTAATTAAAAACTTTCAATTACATCAATTATACTGTACTTTAATTTTCTATTGAAATAATTGTGCGTGTTAAATATATTTTTAGCCTGTCAATTAATTTACAATTTATAAATAAATATTGTATCATTAAAGTATTTAAATTTAGTAAAAAAATCACAGAATAGATATAGTGGTACTTTCCAAATTAAAACAATTTTTAAATATTAATATTTATATTTGACAATCTATTCTAAATTTACCGTAAATTATAATAAAAGTTTGTAATTATGATATTTATGAATTTAAATAAAAGCGTAAAAATTTTCCAATTTAAATGTCAATATTTGTATAACTTATAATTTATAAATAAAATAAAATAATGAGTTTTAAAAGTACATAAATTAATAAATTTAAATAAGTAAGCATATATTTCTACGCGAAAATACAGGAATTAATTAAAAATGAAACGAAAGTGAGTTAGTATTATTTTTGCTAATATTTTATATAAAACCCATTAAATAAGATTTGCTTATAATTAATTGAGTCCTTTATATACATATAACATAAAAGTTGTGTTTTATTTATTATACACGACAAGAGTGTAGAGAACTCGAGTACTCAGTGTTTCCTTCATATAATAAAACAGTTTTTTCGGAGAATTCAATTCAATTCATATTTATTTTGAACTCAATTTTTTGCCCAAAAAACTCGTTCTTTACTTATAAACAAAATTGTTTTCTTTATGTTTTCCTTTCAAAAATATATGAGAATTTAGTTTTGGTTTTAATTTGAAATTTCGCTGATTTTTATCGGCGAGTCAAAAGCTATATTTATCCCAATTTATCACAGTTTAATTTACCTAGTTTATAATTCTTTATGAACAATTAATTAATGCATGAAATATTTGTTTTAATTATAAGTTAGACTTATATTATGGACAGTTATCTGACAGCAAATTCTGGTCATCCCATAGTTGACTCATTATTAATTGTATTTAACAAAACATTCATTTCCTTAATGTCCAAAAAAGTTTGAAAACTTGTTATAAATTATTATTAAAACTAGATTAAATTAGTTTTTATACTGTACAGTGTGTGAGCTCACAACTTGTTAAATTAAGTAACAAAATTGTATAATATAGTTATTTATTAATATTTATAGATGATCACAAATCGATTTAAAATGTATTATTTTGAATTGGAAATTTATTTTAAAAAGCTTAATTATTCATAAGATATTTAGTATTTTGTATTGTAAATACTAGTACTGTATAATACAGTATATTAGAATTTTCGAGAAATACTCAATAATAAAAGAGTTAAATAAACAATTTTATAATCATTTTTCATGTGATTAAATAAAAGTAAATAAAATATAAAAGCATAAACATTGTATATTAAAAATGAGGTAAAATTTTTAGGAAAATTCTTTTGGAAAATAGTGATTGAGTTCTAAGAAATAGCATTTAGTCTCATATGTGTTATCAAACAAAGTAATCAAAATAAGAGCACAAAAACATAATTAAATCTAATTATTGAGATCTTGAACCTAGATATTAATTGGTGAATAATAATAAAATTCAAATCAATTCAAATTCTTTAATGGTTACTGAAATATTTGCATAATTATATGCTTTTAAGTGATAAAATTAAATAAAGTGTTATTAATGCTATAAATATAAATGGAATTTATGAAAATAACTAGGCAAATCTAAATACATTTTGAGAAACCTAAATACTTATTAAAAAAGTATCATTGTAATAAATGATCATTATTGTTAGTAACTTATTAAATTTTGCATGAATAAATTGATATAATTTTCAAATAACTCATTTTACTATAAATACGTTAATTAATTTTGTAAATCAATGTTTTTGTTTGAACCGTTTAATAACTCAGTTTTTTCTCAAAAATTAAGAGTAAAGGAGATATTTTAGAGGAAATTGTTTTGTAAAAAGAACTCAATTATTGGATATATTATATAAAATAATAATATTTCAAATCAAGCCGTGGTTTGAGAGCACAGACAACACAGAAAGATCTCAAACATACAGTATATTCATACCCTCCCTCTATTCCCCACGCATTCACTCAAATACTGACTTATGATTTTTGGGTCGTTTTGAACCAAATATCATAGAGATTATGGGAATATTGTATAAATTATAATACATTTAAAAGTTTCTCTAAACTCCATACAATAATCATTGAATTATTCACACTCTTATCGATAAAAGTAATACATTAGTCAAGATATACTGTACATATATGTAATACCATGAGTATGTTATTGAGTGTAATAATTATAATGAATATACTCGTCCATTGTGAGCATCCCTTTGTGAACGTGAGGTCCTGTGTACCTCAGTCTGCAAAAGTAAATTAATTAAAAATGAACACAAAAATGAAATTAAAACAGAATAACACCCAAAGCTATCGGGGAGAGAGTGATCGGCGCTTATGGAGGAAAGGGAGAGAGAGGGAGAGAGTGACCGACTTTGACCTCATAAGCCAATCGACGAGAGAGAGGGAGAGCACCAGCAGCTTAAGCATCAAACACTGGTTTCACTATTTAATAACTAGGTTTTTTGCATTTATAATGGGAATGAAAAAAGCTTTTAACAGGAAATTATGTAAAGCAAGTGGTTTTGGTTGAGAAGTGTGACACCACTACCCATAAGTGATTTTGGATTAACCATCACTTGATTCCACAGAATATCATATATTGTATCTGTTTTGTGCCAAAATACTAAACTCGGTGTACATCTAGTTTGAAAACACCGTTCAAAAGGGTCGCACGTATTCCCACGAAATACTGGTGCTCTCCAATCGATTCACAAACTTTGCATTTTATAAGATAATTGTGAATAAAAAAAGAAGTAAATTTTATTTTAAGTTTTTTGAATATAATTTGAATAAAATAACTATATTTGTTATTAAGAAGTTTAAGCTTGTAACAATTTTTGAGATTCATAGGAATCTCAAGGATTAGTTTTGAAAACTTTTTTGTGTTGTGTAATAAATTAATAAAACTTTGGTGTTTAATATTATTAATGTTTTAAGCATAGGTAAGAATTTGAAACTAGTGTTTAGATTCTGTGGTCCAGAATGTCATATTGTTATATTACTCCAATTGTAGACATGATTAACACATCATCGCTGCCATTGGCGGTCATACCCCCATCCCTGACCACAACGACCCAGTCGTCAGTGGAGTCATTACACACGTGCGGACACGCGTTTTTGGACGGGGCTCTCGAACAGCTGGGATGGATGTTCTACCTTATCTCGCCTAATAGCTCAGCATACAGTTCCCCACATGACGTTCCCAATTATGAAGTCCAGGTAATGTTTGTTTAATATTTAATTGAGATTTTCAAACAATTGAAATAATTATTCAATCAATGAAAGGATGGATATTAGAAGTTATTTATTATTTATTATTACTTAGATTTATTAAATAAAATTATACTTTATTTTCCATACTATTCTATCTTTTTGTTTAAATGTGCCTGGTTCTTTGTTTAATTAATATTTTCAAAAGTAAATATACCATATTCAGGATAGTTTTAAATTTTTAAAACTTTTTTAAACTTTGGTTTGGTGGCTAAGTATTAATTAGAAAATAAAATTAAACAAAATGCAAATAAAAATTCCTATATATTTGAGTGTTTTGTTATTTCAATTGGTTTTTTGTTTTTGCTGAAAAGTCAAAATGTTTTTAAATGTTTCAAATATTCGTTAAAAAGTTTTTTCTTAATTCTTTATAATCTATTCATTTATTTTATAAAATAAACAAATCTTTTTATGTTAATCACTATTGACTGAAAAGAATTTGTAACAACAAATCATAAGTAAAATATTTTCTCCACTTTTCCATTCATTTTCCTCAAACTTATATTTTTTCGCAAATATCTTTCATATTAGGAATTAATGCAAACATTTATCGCATTATGCTTTTCATTGATTTATTTGTAATGTAATTAATAATTCTTATCCCAAATCTGCACTCTTATCGATTGGATTAACCAAAACGCGTACAGATATTCCCAATTTTTACGTTTTTGATGACAATCGAGCAATTGATACGATTTTTCCAACGCAAACGCCCCTCCAGGGTCACCGACATTATCATCAATTTAGGCGCTGGACTCTTGTTTGTAGTGGCCAGGTATGTCACCATATCAATACATTCAAGAAAACAAATAACTAGTAAAATAAAGTTAAAGCAAAACATGTCTTAACACATAATTTATCATTATAAGGCATCTATGAATTAGAAAAAATTATATTTAAAATTTTGTAGCTTAATAATTATTAATTATATAATGTATAGAACTTACAAAAATTAATTATTAAAAAACAATTTTTACTAAATTAAAGATAAAATTTTTATCACAATTAAAATGGTGTTATTTAGTGGAATAATTTAGTTTTTGATAATTGGTTGTTTATTATTAACACATAATGTTGATATTTATTTTTAAAAGTAATTAATAAGAATATAAGAATTTCAGTTTTATCCAAAAAGTACCTGTATCAGTATTATAGCAGTACAGTACATACACAACTCAAAATAATTGAATTTCAAATGAATTATTATTTCGTTTAGAGTATTACTTTTGGGAACCGTTTTGAACATATTTTACTTCTTCTACGACAACTACCGTATCGTTGATCTGCCGAAGACCTGTATCTCCACTTGGTTTCTATCGCTCCTACTAATTGAGTTCGTGTACTATTGGGTGCACCGGTCTCTCCACGAGATCAACCTATTCTGGGCCAGTCATCAGTTCCATCACAACGCAGTCGACATAGACGTGTCCACAACACTGAGGGACACTCTCATCGATCTCGTCATCTATGAAGTAATTGACCACAAATTCACAGATACTGTATACCAATAAAAACAAATTCTAACTTTGCTTGTATATACAGTTTTTCCCGACACCACTAGCCCTGATCATCCCACCACCCATACTACTGGTGCACATGCAGTTCTCGCTCATCTATCAGGTATGGCTGCACACGGAGGTGGTCACCCATTTGGGACCACTGGAGTACATAATCAATACGCCCCGTCAGCACCGGGTGCACCATGGCAAGAATCGCTACTGTATTGACAAAAACTATGGCGCACTCATCATGATATGGGACCGGGTGTTCGGCACATACCAGGCCGAGGAGGAGAAGATCACATTCGGAACCACTACTGAGCCCTACAAGACATACGACACGACCACTCTTCACTTCTACTACTATTACGACACCGTTTGGCATAAATTCAAAGCAATGGACAATTGGAGCGACAAAATGAAGGCATTGTTTTATGGGCCGGGATGGGCACCGGGTATGCCACCTATTATACGAGCAATTGTTTATAAATGTTAATAAATACCACTTCTTGTAGGCAAACCCCGAACAGGACTTCTGACAGACATACCCGAAGTAGACCCGTACACACCGGCCGAGCGCTACGACCCATACATCCCATTCTGGCAGTTGTTTTACTGCATGTCTCACGGCTTTCTGGTTGCCCTCGGCTTCTATGTGGTCACTGATCACCCATTGATCCGATTCTCGCACTTAAACTCATTGATTATCTTCTTCTATGTTATGCTTGCGTTGACCTCTTTTGGCACTATCTTTGACCGAAGGTTTGACTACTTTTTCAAATACCTTTCCATACCTTTCCACTACTTTTTCAAATACCTTTCCATACCTTTCCACTACTTTTTCAAATACCTTTCCATATATTTGAATGATTAATAAAAATTTGTCAACTCAATGTAACTACAGATCGGTGGCGCCGTTAGTCGAAGTGAGCCGTTGTTTGCTATACTTCCTGTTCGACACATATGTGATCAGCTCATGGATGGACTCATCGTTGGCGCCCCACTTGCGAGGACTCACCGAATCAGTGTTGACGGTCGTGAGGGTCATCCACTTCATGTCAATCGTGTTGTGGCTAATGGTGTGGTTGAGTCGCACGAACCGACGCTGTAAAGAGACTTATGACAAGCTGTCGCTCATGAAAGAGGACAAGTATATCGACAACTATACCATCGACAAGAATCGGACGGACAGCTGGCGGGTGGGACGCCGTATGGCTTTCATGGGGGGCGCCGTCTCATCGTTTGTCATACTATTCATGGTGTTTGCCCTCCGGTTTGACGAATGCACTCAATTCCTGAACCCCATAAAAGTCGAGTTATAAACGAAAACCTGAATTAAAATGTATTTTTTTTGTATCATTTTTTGGGTCCAAGAAATTCATTCAAAATACGTGTCTATAGTGTTTGTGGGCTTGAATTTCTTAATGTAATTAACTCAATGTTATTTAATTTCTATTTTTGTTTAATCTAAATTATTTTATGCAATTTTTGAGATAAATATTGTTTTTGTTAAAATCAAATGTAAGTCTATTTTTATATATTTTATATTTATATGTTGTGGTTTGTTTACAAAGTTTTATTAAGTTTTTTAAAATTTGTTTATATTAAATTTAATTTACTTATTAAAATTTTGATTAAGTCTAACAATAAGGTCATTAATAAGTATAACATTTAAATTTATTATAAAATGTTTTTATAATATTTTACGATATGTTATCAAATGAACGAATAAATAAAAATAAAAATAAAAAATTTGGAATAAAAAACCATTAATTGTTTTGTTTTAATTATTAAAATATATGTCAATTAGAAATTTAGTGCAAAATACATTATAAACAATTTTTGGAGTTATTCCTCGTATCATATTTGATGTGAAAATGTACTGCAATAACAAAAATATTTATAAAAATTAGTTATAAAGTACAATGTACTTTAGATATGATAATCACAAGAACTTTTATGGTTTAAAATATTTTTCACATAATTGAGGAAAATTGTAATCTAAAAATGTTTTAAAGTTCATTCAAGTAATAAACACTTTTTTGTATTTGAAAATACAATTTATCACATCTTTTAGTTAGAAAGGGAGAGACATGCGAATAAAAGTTTTATAATCACTCCAGGGTCTATTGTACAGTTTTATATTAATATTATTTTAATCTTTACTTAATGTATTATGTTTTACATTTAAGGGGAAAATAATTTTTATAATTAATGCAATATTTAAAGTATTGATATTAATATTAATACAATAGTTGCATTACTTGCCTAAAAGCAAAAGTTATCAATTGCCTTAAACAACAAATTATTTCAATACAATGAGGATTATAAATTCAAAAAATTGTGTGAAAGTTATAATTATAAGGGGTTTGCATGGTGTATATTTTGTTAAGTGGGGTTAGTGTTTGACATTACTGACATACCGTATGCAATAATATTATGTATTTATGTATTTTGCCCTAATTTTTGCGGTTATTTTATAAGTAGTTTTTGTTAGTGACATAAACCACTTCTTACATTGAACTTGATACCTTATGTACGCAATTATAACTGTAAATTAGTGCATTAAAATGAATTTTAATTTTAAATTATTAAAACAAATTATGCATTATTACAGATATAAGTGTAATATAACTGTAAATAAAACTAATAATCAACACAAAGTGCTGAACCCAATGAAGGATATTTTCACTTATCAATGCTTTTTGAACTCAATTTCTTAGTTAAATGATTAAATTACTATTTATTCATATATTCAGCACTTAATACGAAAACTTAGCTGATTTTAATTGCATAGTCTGAAATATTATAGACTTTACAAAATATAAATACTTTTTAAAAATAAATTAAATAAGAAAATTATAAACAAAATTGAGTTATCTTCAAATATTTATCAATGTTAAACAATTAATGAACAAAATTACTTTAAGTTGATTAAATAAATGTTTAATATATTTTTACAAAAATTAAATACTGTATAAACAAAATACTGTATCATATACAGAAATATTGTATAATGAAATAATATTGTATTGAACAAAGTTCTTGTATTACTAATAGCTGTTACAGTTAACCATGAATCAAATTGTGCATGCTACATATCTATGATTGAATCTTTTATTCAATAATTCCAAAAATAAAGTTTAAATTAAAAAATTCAATTCATTAATCAATGAAAAGTCTATTTGATTGGTTGACGTCAATAGTGAGTGAATAACATAAAATACTAGTCTAAACAGAAATAATTGAATTGAAAACATTTCTAGTTTTACTAACAAACAGTAGTCGCTATGTAAGGGTTGGCATCAATTCACCCCCGGATTAAAAACCCAGAAAACTTTTTTCGTAACACTTATTGTAAGCCATCGCACAAAATGTGAACAAAAAAGGCATATTTAGATCACACTCTCAATAATACCCGCGCGTACGCTACATATACGGCAGATTCATACAACAAAATTGATACAAGCTACAAATTGTCACTTTTAGAGTGTTGTATTGAAATGCATAGAAAAAACATACGAGTAATTAAAATACAATTTACAATAAATACGAGTTCAAGAGAAAACTGATAATATAATTGTCTGCAAAACTTGAAGTTTGTAAAATTCATATTACAGTATGAATACCACTCACACATAGACCTAACGGTGACCTCAACCCAATTCATGGCTATAGTGTGGCTGACATACAGACAAATAACTTTTGTTTGGCACATAAGGAAAAAATATGGGCAACATTTGTGGCTAAAACACACAGACATTAATCTAATAGTTCATATTTATTCAAAAATTAGTTACTCTACGACTATATTGCATATGAGAATGAGCAAGCTCAGCTAAATTAGAAATTCACGGATGACATTGATGACATTATAGAGAGTACACGTAATTTATTGAAGCCATATATATCTGGTGATCTAATGCGTGAATGAATGGCATAACTGTAATAATAAAAAAATGTTTTATCCGGCAAATTATATTTAAACAGTGCATCGCTTGTCTAATACAGCATACACTTGGCTGTAGTTATCGTATGAATGTAACACTAATCACGGAATAACACTAAGAATATGTGTTTCATATGATTATCAATTATGAGTGATAATTAAATATTGTATCTAGCATAGCTGATTTATGAAATCATTGTTTGCGGTGGTGTTTCACACAACAGGATCGGGACTGTACTGTACTGGCAGTGTATTGGCAGTGAAAATATGAGTGAAAATAGTAAATACATAACGCTATGAATAATGACAATAATAATAACAATACAGTCGTAACGTGTGTTTTGCTAAACAGTGAATGCATTTCATAATACAAGTCTCAGTAATACAGTTGTGATCATAACATAAGTACTCATTATATTTGTCACACAATTAGACGTGTATTTCATTTGTTAATCAACAGCTGATCTGTAAATATATTATTAATACTTTGCACTCATTTTTGTTACAAATATATATAACTATAACTCAAATCATAATAATATTATTACTGTTAATAATAACTGTTATAATAATAATCATAAACTAAACAATGAAATGAACCTGATACAAATATAAATTGTCATTACAGTGCTGTGTCTCTACCGGACACACCATTGCATTGTATATCTACACCAGTGGTGATAATCTGACAGACAGTTTGCGGTGATAGTGACCGCCGAAGACATCATATGTTGACATAAATAGCTGTGATTTGCGATCAAAAGCCCAACAAAACGATTGATTTGATAATAATCTGTAATCCTGTGAACAAGACTCAGGGATCAAAGCTCGGACAATGTTGTGGACATACAGTCAGGAGGACATCCAGAAGGTGATGATCAGCATCTGGTCGTACGTCCGTCTGGTCTGCATATTAGTGCACAACTTGTATACTAACAAGACTCAGGGATCAAAGCTCGGACAATGTTGTGGACATACAGTCAGGAGGACATCCAGAAGGTGATGATCAGCATCTGGTCGTACGTCCGTCTGGTCTGCATATTAGTGCACAACTTGTATACAATACCTGTCTATCTGTTCATCAATTGGCTGGTCTTGTGGCCCCTGTATCTCATCGATGTCCACAAGTATATGATGGTCGAGAACTATCTCTACAACTGGTGTCTCTATATCGTCAGCTCCTGGAGCTATGGCGCCGGCATTATCATCCATGAGTTGGGCGACGACTTGTATCAACTCAAAGGTAGTCACCATTTGCTGTCGATTATGACATGTCTTTGTTTTGTTTGTCTGTCCTTTTGATGCCACTGTTTGCCATGAATTGTCATAATCTGTGATTATGGTATGGGATCAGGTATGGCATGTTGATAGTGTGTGGGCACTGGTATGTCAAATGCATAGCCCTATTATTTCTGATTAATTGTTTACTTTTTATATAATTTGCTTTACAATCAGTTTTTGGTCCAGAATTGTATGCTTAAGATGTCATCAATTTGTGGCACTTTTCTAATGCAATATTTTACACATTTTTCATAGATTTTGTATTTAAATATTGTATTTATTATAATATACCTGTATATTGTAATATATTGTAATTAGTGTTTTATTTTTTGACACTATTTTCCGTTTACTTTGTTGTGTTAATGAGATTTTGATTGTTTTTTATTTATTTTATTTTATTTTTATAAATAATTATTTAATAAATCATAGGTTTGCCAAATAAGGAAAGGGAAGGCCTGTCAGTCAGTCAGTCGGCCTATTGTAGTCTCTCTCTCTCTCTCTCTCGATAATGAGTTTTAATTAATAATTTTCCAACTAATTAGTTATTGAATATCAGTGAATATAATTAGGTTTTGAGTTAAAAACACAAATACATGGCTAAAGTATCTAAAAATAAGTATTATATGACATAACTCATGATTTCTGTACGACATTCCCATTCAAGCGTTGACTCATTTAAATGATTAGTTTTTTTCGGTTAACGACAAATCAAATTATCTATCGCTGTGTGAATGCCTATACATTGATTGAATTATACGAAAAAAGATAATTTATAAATATTTTGCTCCCAAATAAATGGTGTGTAAAAACAGTGGTCGTATTGATCGACCAAAAAACTCAAGGCTTTCCCCTTTTTATGTGTTGAAAGTTTAGCGCAAATTTTTTATTTGATTTGAAAANTGATTGAATTATACGAAAAAATATAATTTATAAATATTTTGCTCCCAAATAAATGGTGTGTAAAAACAGTGGTCGTATTGATCGACCAAAAAACTCAAGGCTTTCCCCTTTTTATGTGTTGAAAGTTTAGCGCAAATTTTTTATTTGATTTGAAAACTTATTTCAAGCGAAAATATTTTTTGATTATAATGTATGGATTTTGTTATAAAGTCATAATTTTATGGTTTCCTGACATAGAAATTGCATTTTTAATTTCACACACATTTAAACTTTGATCCCATTCCCCGACTCCCCATACTGTCCGTATATTTTTGAGATTTTAGTGAGAAAATAAACTTATTAATAAGTTATTATTAAATGATTAGACTAGCTAATCTCAATGTTTAGATGAAAAACACTTGAGTTTTATTATGCATTTCCATCGATGTCTAGTATTTCATACGAATCTTATTATTTATTTATAATATTAAGCGGTATTTGGTCTGACTTTTAGTGAACTCTCACTTAATGTTAGTTTTGTCGGAAAATCTATGAATCGTATATAAATATTTTGCTCCCAAATAAATGGTGTGTAAAAACAGTGGTCGTATTGATCGACCAAAAAACTCAAGGCTTTCCCCTTTTTATGTGTTGAAAGTTTAGCGCAAATTTTTTATTTGATTTGAAAAACTTATTTCAAGCGAAAATATTTTTTGATTAAAATGTATGGATTTTGTTATATAGTCATAATTTTATGGTTTCCTGACATAGAAATTGCATTTTTAATTCCACGCACATTTAAACTTTGATCCCATTCCCCGACTCCCCATACTGTCCGTATATTTTTGAGTATTTTTGGTGAGAAAATAAACTTATTATTAAGTTATTATTAAATGATTAGACAGTTATCTCAATGTTTAGATGAAAAACACTTGAGTTTTATTATACATTTCCATCGATGTCTAGTATTTCATACGAATCTTATTATTTATTTATAATATTAAGCGGTATTTGGTCTGACTTTTAGTGAACTCTCACTTAATGTTAGTTTTGTCGGAAAATCTATGAATCGTATTGATTATAGTGAAGCACTTTTTCGTAGTTATATGCCATTAACTCTCGAGTGATAGGAATCGTATGATTTATAGATGTATTTCACGATAACAACTGTCTTTTGCCACATATTAATAACAAACTCAAATCATATGCAAAGCAATATTTTGTTATTTATTTTTATGACAAATTATTGCTATTAGTTTTTGTTTGGCACTACAAATATCGAAATTAATAAAACATTTTTGAAATAAATTTGATAGAAAAATATATAAATGTATATAAATAAAATACATTTAATTAAAATACAATCTATAAACTATGCACTTTGGCATATATACCGGTACAGTTAAAGGATTCACTTTTGTAGTGATTATTTAAAATTAATTTCTGAATTATTTTTAGTATTTTTTATCAGAACATGAATACAAAGTATAGCATTTATAGATTATTTTTAAAATTAATTAAATGTATCATTTATAATGAGTTTGTAATGTATTTGTAATGTATTTGCAGAGGAGAAGACACGTCTACTGATAATAGCCAACCATCAGTCGACAGCTGACGTCCCACTTATGATGCAGTCGTTCACATCCAGAAGCAAACGGGTCTTGCTATGGATAATGGACGTGGCGTTTAAGTGGACCAACTTCGGAGTGGTGTCCATAACACACGGCGACTACTTCTTGAATACCAAGAGCTATACACCCGGAGATATATTCAGACATATCACCACTCCTTTCAGTCGCTTCAAGGATGCCATCATTCTCTTCCCCGAAGGTATCACTCCATCGCCTAATCTTTGAGTAGATCTTGAGTTCACTTAGAGTACAGATTCTGTAAAGATTTACACTTTTATAGGAAACATTAATTTAATTATTTTGGTTTATGATGTTTTCTACGATAGTATTAATTATATAACTCTATTAACTCTTTCCCTACTTTTGTGAACACCTTATCTCTAGTAATACAATGAATTTTATGGTATATACTCTTGTTGTCAACTGTATAAGTGTATTACAGTATGATAATTATATAGTACTAGTATTTTCATATGAAATGAATTTGTGAAAATAAATTCATGCATTTATTGCGAAAATATTATCTAAATTATAATAGTGCTTATTATACCGGTACATATAAATTTTTACTTTCAATTGTATTTCGATAATGGCTTTTATAGATTTATTTTATTGGTTTATGTTTCAATTTTACTCTTTACTACATTTTTATAATATTTGGAGTTTTATTTGACTTTTTATCATTTTTGTCATTTTATTTATAGATTTATTACACTTTTAATGATTTTAACTCTATTTTCGTTTACTTTTAATCGATTGCGGTCTAAGAGATCAATCGATAGTGTTTTAGATACATTGCATTCTTTACTCAATTCATTTCATTATTGAACACAAACTTGATTTCGTGCACAGAATTCACTTCCAGAATATTCTGTACAAAATAAGTATAGAAGACGAGTCTCTCTCTCTCTCTCTCGCTCTCTCTCTCTCTCTCTCTCTCTCTCTCTCTCGTCTTTTTGTTCACTTCAATATAAGTTAGTATTTGATAATTAAGTTATATTTCTCTTACCATTAAAGATGTATTTATGGTGTAATCGATAATTCTGATGGTATTGTTAGTACAGTATTATTACAAACTTTATTAGAAAAGTGATATTTGATATAAATTTATGATCACTCGTATTGTATTGAGTTATTAAACCTTTTATTTGTCTGTATTTAAGGGGGCTTTCGATTCAAACGCCTGAACTCATCGAACAAATTCGCGGCCAAACATAACTACCCGGCCCTCTATCACGTGACATATCCGCGCTTCGGCGCCTACAACGAGGTTATGGAGTCTGAGGCCGGCATCACACACGTCGTGGACCTGACGATCGCCTACGAAGACCTTCAAAACCCGTTGTCAATCGTTGACATCGGACGCGGGAATCGGAAGTCAGCCGTTGTTTTTAATTATCGTATTTACGACGTCAACCAAACGCCTGACATTAAGACAGAGGAATGGCTGAACAAAGTCTGGAAGGAGAAGGAGGAGCTGCTACTCAAGTACTACACCGACCGCCAGTCCCTTCTTAACACATTACATGAGTTTAATGTAGTGTCTCTCAGTTGGCTTAAAATAATAGGCGTTCATGTGTTTCATCTGTCGTTTTGGTTTGTTTTCTATGTGTTGTATAAAAAGACTAAACATTATGTGTTTTGATATCACTTTTGAATTGAAAAGCAATACACAAACACTACAAATAAAAACTCATTAAGTCTTATAATTATAATTTTAGGACCATTTAAGTAAATCTCTCTCTCTCTCTCTCTCTCTCCCACTTTCCATAGCTTTCTGTGTATTTCTAGTGAATTTAAAATTAATTTTTCTGTGTTAATAGTTTTGATATACAGTTGTGTTGAGCTGTATGCCAGATATGTCTGGAATTGTTCTCAAGTTTATCTTTAAATTAATATTTAAAA